CGGGCCCGAGATGGTTTCCTGCCTGCTGTCACGGCTCCTGCAGCAGCAGCGCTGGTGCAAAGCCTGTTTTGGGGTGTGTGTGTGCGTGGGGGGGATCTCAGGCACCCCATCAGAACAGGAGATGCACGGCGGTGCCGGCACCGCCAACCTTTCCCAGCCGTGCTCAGACAAAGCCTCCAGCCCTTCGGCAGCGGCTGCTGGCCAGGGAGAGGTGGGGATTCACCCCAAGGCGCAGCAGGCCAGCAGTGAACCCTGCGGAGAGATGCGGGTGGGCAGGGGGCCAAGCCCTTGGTGCTAGTGTCACATCAACTGAGAGGAAGGGGGGGGAATCGTCCTTGCAAGATGGCAGATGACGAACACCCGAGAAACTCATCTGCTTTCTCACAGCGAGGTGCTCCTGCTAACCACATCCTCTGCCTTCCTCCCGCTGCTCTAACGACGGCTGCCGAAAGATAAGGCACCACTGAGGCCTTCTCACCCCCTTCCCTCCCCCAGCTCATGCGCCTCGGCCGCAGAGGCCTTGGCCCTTCTGGTAACCACAACCTTATCGGCGCTTTTTTTGGGTTCTCTAGGATTTCTGTTGTTGCAGAGGGGAAAAACAGACACAGTCCCCTCTCTCTAGGCGCAAGGGAGGGGAGGAGGCAGTTTAGCACCTTCAGCTAGGAGGAAAAAAAGCAGGAGCCGAGCAGCAGTGGGATGCACGAGGAGGTTTATTGGAGAAGGCTGCGAGGCAGGGAGGTCAGAAAGGACGAGCCCGGCCCGTGCTGCCCGGGGCTGGGAGCAGGGAGAAGGGCCCTTTGCCGGCTTCTCCTCTCCAGTTGCCGGGCTGCACGCCGGGGTAACCTCTGCCTCGCCGAGCCGCGGGCCAGATGCCAGTCACCACGTCTCTTACGGGTCGTCCGCTCTCCTCGGCGCCCTGGCCATCAGGTTGCAGGCAGCCTTGTGCTTCTGCCAGTGCTGGACCTGGCACGCCCTGGGGAGGGGAAGGCCGCCGCTCAGGGGCTCTGCTGCGAAGCGGGGCAGTTCGAGCGGGGACGCAGGGGGGCCACGTCCATCCCGGGAGTGAACCGGTGACAAAGACAAACCCCAGCACCGTATTCCTCCAGGCACTGGGGGGGATCTGGCATGGCCAAGCATTAGCTTAACAGGGAGGTGGATGTGGCCCCCAGTTCCGGGGGCTAAGACGGTTTAACGCCAGGCCTTGCCATATGGTTCAGGACCAGAGAAGATTTAATTTACTGCCACCGTCCCAGCTGCCACGTCCCAGCCCATCACCCGCACCCAAAGAGCCACGGGCGCTTTTCTCCCCACTCCTGCCCCACCAAGGTGCAGGGGAGGGAGACAGTATCACCATGGGAAACCCAGCCCGTCGCCACTGTCAGTGTGGGCTGGCAGGCACAGGGACAGGCAGCTCAGCACCTGGCAGCAGCGACACAACACTCACCAGCATCTCCTCCGCCAGCGTCTCGGCCCATCAGCCCCACCACAAGACTTAGAGGTACGTGGCAAACGGAGAGCCAGCAGTGCTGAGCAGCGGTAGGACCCCTGGCTTCCCTTGGCCCTTTCACAGCATCCTCCGTCGAGGTGTGTGGTGCTCTGGGGAGCAGGGGGGCAACTGGGGGGCTGCAGGGGACACAGTGGGGTGGCAGGGCTCCCTTACCGCGTGCAGTACCACTCGTTCCGGCAGCGAGAGCACCGCTTGGCCGCCTCCACACCGCACACCCTG